GCAAACAGTAAGTTAAATTTAGCCTGCAATGATTTCTAGCCCCTGAGAAAAATAATTGCTTCATCCTGTTGCCAAAAGGCAAAGCGGCATCAGCTTAATTTGCCTGAGCCTGCCATAAACTGCAGATGGAGCCATAAAACATAGTTAGAATCAAATGAAACACATCTGTCCTAATCTGAAGGCAGGTGCGGCCAGCCAATCAGGAAGCATCAAGTGTAATGCCGCACACGGATTACAATGTGCAGAGGTGTATTTTGGGAGCCTGCTGACAGTGGGGGAAAGAACAATGTAGTCTTAGGTTGTCCCATATTCTTTTATGGTGCCTTCTCCCTTGTACAGACCTATTCCCTGGGAAAGAAACAGACAACCGTCACTGACTTCATGTGCAGGAGTTTAATATATTCTAACCAGGATTCCTTCCCTTAGCTGGCACTCCCTCAGACTAATTGAGATTAGAAACAATCACAAGGTGCTGCCGTATGTTTTTTTTTTTTTTTTTTTTTTTTTTTTTTTTTTATTGGCAGAGAGTCTATTTCCATGTAAGGTATCAGCCCACTTCTGTATCTCCCACGGAGATAACTGCCATGTACAGAAACAACAGAGTAAGATCTGCTGGTTTTGAGCAAAATAACCACCTGACTTAACCAAACCAGGACAGTCTTGAGAGTGAAAGGGAACCGAGGTGACCATGGCGGTCGCCTTGCCCCAGCCTCCCTTCGAGAGAGAACACGCTTTCCTATTTCAAGCCGCACAGTTAACTGATCCTCTCCTGCAGAACGTATACAATCCTACTTGGGCTTAGGGTCTCCCTCAGCCCGGACTGCCTGCAGCCAGTAGTTGGAATCCGTGAGGGTACTGGTGCATGGTCTCCCCCTGCCTCCAACGAGATTCCTGCAATGAGTAATCTTTGCTCCCTGCTTGGTTGCCTGAGCCTTTCTCAAGTGTACATTATGGACAGAGGCTCTCTCGTGTTCATTTCTGCCTCTACTCACAGACCTGTTTCACACCTGTTTCACAAGATGAAGGTTTTTTCCCATCCTATTTTATTTATTTATCATCATTACTTCTCAATAAGCTTGTTACATTTTCATTTCATTTTCACATCTACTTCCTGTGAAACCCAAGTGCCAGGGATGCTATTAACATCCAGGTGAGTGAAACAGATATTAAAACAGAACCTATAATAACCCTGGTCAAGCTTGGTTGGCACCTGTCAATCTATACTCCACTTTGTCCAAGGCCAGACTTTGCTTCCTGCGGACTTCGTCCACGTATCATGGTTCTGTGTGGGGTCAGCATTAATCTCAGGCAGATCCTGACTTTACCAGACCCCAGCTGAATGACTGAACATCATCTGAAACAGAAGAAGCTCGGCAGTAATTCCCTTCTCTTCCCCTCGTGCGGGGTCTTCCTGGTTTCCCTCAACCATTTGCTGCAGTTGCTGAAGAACCTCTCTTTTTTTCCTGTCAACCCTGTCCCCTCTGCATTCATACTTAATTCACACTGAAGACAAACTCTCCAGTGCTGCATCTTTGTATGCAGTAGGACCATCAAACCTTTTTCATTTCGATGGCCACCACATTCTCAAACACAGTAATTATTTACCAGGAAACCCATTCTATTTCCTTGTAAAGATGGTGACCCAGTCATCCAGGCAAGCTCTACATCAACCTCATCAGTTTGGTCACAAGGTCATCTTCATCCTCCCTTTTAGGTTTTGGCCAAATTTATTATCTTTTTTTTTCCTTCCTTTCAGAAAGATACAGTATAAATATCAATCGTGAGTGCAGATGCAAAGTGGTGACTATGGTTCACAATGGAAAATCACTTCAAAAAGTTTGTAGAAACTGCCCATTGTGAAAAAAACTGCATTGATTTCCAATGTTTCCACACCAAAATAAGCATCTTTTAAATCCACATTTCCCACAAGCCTTTGAAATACTCTTGTACATTGAATTCTTGAAGAATGCTGAGTGGCTGTAAGGTGTTCTTATCTCAAAATTGCCATTTACACAAGGCAACGCATATGCTAGTTAGCCAGATTTAGCCATTATGCAATGTGTTTATACCTCAAAACACCGTGTTGTACATAATAAATTACATATATAACTAAAACAGCCCAAAAATCACATTCTTAGTGTATTTGAAATCAGCAGACATAAGCAAAACACAAAAGTTTAAGGACAAGTGGGATGAAAAACAGGTCAGCTAAACAGCAGCTGGCGTCTCCAGCACACAGGTACCCTGCCTAGTTTTGATTGTAGGAGCATTGTATGGTCACTCTGTAACCTGATAGAGAGCTAACGAGATTTCGTATTATCATCTAGGAAGGGCAGCATAGGTGCCGTGAATTTTCTTAAGGCAGCAAGAACTGCATACTGATAGGAAAGTCAGAGGGACCAGAAATGCTGGTGCCACATGGCTCTGAATATCAGAACTGCACTCCTACGTTAGGAAGTGGATTCTCCTGGCTCCTGGCTGCAGAGAAGACCAGCTCCAGTGGGTGCAGCTATTTGGGGGAGTGAACCAGTGAGGGGAAGATCTCTCTGTGTCTCCCTCTCCCGCTCTGTCTAACCCTGCCTTCCAAATACATAAATAAACCATAAAAAAAAGGAAGACATTCTTTAGTTTGGAATATTGAGCTCTTACCTCAGTGCCTGTCATGCAGTAGTTACCGAAGGAATAGGAGGAAAAACAAACAGACCAATAAATGGAAGGATGCCCAGATGGCTGGCCAGCTAAATACATAACATAGACAGGAAGTCTGTGGAATTATCTTGACCCGTCTCCAGTCTGCCCATTAAAAATTTGCTTTACACAATGCTGTCATAAGCATCTCTTAAATAACATCTATCTGATCATGTCAAAACTTTAAACTGCACGTTAAAAACTTCCGTTGGCTCCCCACGTTATAAATTACAGTGTCACTTTGTAATAGTCCCTGATCTGAAATGTCTACATCCTCACAGCAGCTACCATCCAAACACTGTATGTTTGAGGCAGAATAAATTCCTTGGGATTCCCAGAGTATCATTGATTTCATAACTTTACAGTCCACTCCATGGCTAAGATTCTGATTGTAACCATCATCCTAGTGTGACTAATGACTTGCTTTATTAACTTATAAAAATTGTAAACTGCATTTTCATTTTTCCTGACGTTTTACTGTGGTTCACCTGGAGAAGAGATAAAATGGTTTGTGTGAAATCTCCTAAAAAGTTTCCTAAGGCTCTTTTCAAAATGCCCTAGAAATACAAAGTAGAAGGAAATTGGGGCCCAGATGTTTCTTCACTGTATTTAAAGATGTATTTTATTTATTTGAAAGACTGTTACAGATAGAGACAGAGACACAGAGACATGGAAGCAGAGAGAGAGAGAGAAAGAGAGGGAAACAGAGTGTGTGGGGGAGAGAGAGAGAGAGAGAGAGAGAGAGATAGAGAGAGAGAGAATCTTCCATCCAGCCACAATGGCCAGGGCAGAGCTAGGCCAAAGCAGGAGCCAGTAGCTCCATCTGGGTCTCCCACATGGGTAGGGGGTCCAAGTACTTGGACCATCCACTGGTGCTTTCCCACCTGCATTAGGGAGCTGGACTGAAGTGGAGAGACTGGAATATAAACCAGCGCTCATATGGGATGCCAGCATCGCAGGTGGCAGCATCGTTGGCTGCACCACAACGCTGGCCCCCACTTCTCTACGTTTTGCAAAACCTTGTTATCTTTTCCTCCAGGGAATGACACTTGTGCTGGCAAAGCTCTCTTGAAAGCTGTACGGGCTTCTCCCCATCTGACTCAGAGTCTGTGCACGAGGCCACACCAGTGATTCTGTGTGAAGGCTGCTTTTCCCTCCAGAATTAACCAGTGCAGTGCGACGTGGAGCCAGTTGCTCAGGGTCAATCGCTAGACTTTATAGAAGCAAGAGGGTCTTCAGACCCCACCTGGACTGCTTGAAATGTTTTCACAAAGTCGCTGGCAGCTGCAGCCTTGACTGGACAGTTGTGTTGGGCCCGTGCCTCTCTGGCAAAGCTCCGGTGCTGCTGTTTTGCTTGTCTGGGAGTTTGGAGTTGAGAGAGTTTTGTTTTTGCGTGCAAGCTCTGCTGCTTCTACACCCCTTCTCTTTACTCTCAGACTTGCTTTGTTTTTTTTCCTTTGAGTGTCTCTTTCTTGTGGAGCCTCATCACCTGCAGATACTAAGAGCCACCTGACACTTCAACAGTGTGCGTGGGAATCTCCATTGTCTGTCTCTCGGGTCACTTCGGGGCATGGCTGTACCAGTTGCTTCTCTGTGCCTAACGCTGGTAGCCTTTTCCTAGTTTCCTGCAGCTGTAGCCGCACTGCTGTCCCAGACTCCACGTTCATCACCAGAACCAAAGCCAAGCCAAGGGCACAGCTGAGGTCTCTGTTCGGGCACAGCTTCTTTCTCTGTTGCAGCTTCTCTCTGCTTTCTCAAGCAAGCCGGCCTGAGCGTGTTCTCCTGACAGGGCCAGGGTTCTGAGAGAGGACAGGGTTAACCACTTTGGAAACCTCTGCTGGCTTCCAGTCTGCTAACATGCAAGCCACATGCACAAGCTCGCAGTCTGTGGCTGTGAACTTAAACCTGAACCTGGCCATGAGAGGAATTGCAGTGTCCCAGGTCAAAGGGAGCGGGAGCCTCTTAGGGCAAATGCTGATACTAGTCTCCCACAGACATGTAAGCTCATCCTTTTCAGACATAGTAGACAGTGTTTCGTTTACATGTCATGAAGGAAGCCCAAGGTGAACGCATAGTTGCAGATGCAATGTTTGAATCATGCAATTCATTTTTTGCCATGGACCTACCCTTTCTCTTACAAGCACCTGGTTGCACACAGGCCCTGCAAGCCTTCTATGTGAGTCTAAATAGTATGATTGCTTTGTTGATGGAATATCAGTGCGATGTGTAACCCAGTGTGTTTCAACACCAGGATTAATAATAATAATAATAATATAATAATAAAATAGTGGCCCTGTTTCTTCACCCTGCAGGTGACGTCTGTGACCCCAGTCCCTGTGAAAATGGCGGCATCTGTTTATCGGACTTGGCTGGTGACTCCTATTCCTGCGAGTGTCCCGAGGGCTTCACAGACCCGAACTGCTCCAGCGTTGTGGAGGTTGGTAAGTGCAAGCCTGAGTGTTCCCCCACGCAGCCTCGTTGTTTTCTGAGCGGCTGGCAGGTCTGGCGGGAGTGCCTGGTGGTTCTGTGCGGATGTTGTGTGCAATGTTGCTACTCAGTTCACTCCTCTGTGACAGTTTTCCAGCTTCTGTTGGCTCTTGGTGATAAGTACTGTACTTAAAGATGCTAAGGACGATAGCTGAATGCAATACTATAAAGACACTACAAATAACAGTTGGAAATAAGATTCTTCATATATTATTAATATAAATTTGCAATTCTATTCTCAACTAAATAATTAACTCGTAAGTTAATTTATTCAAGTTAAATTGTCACTGTCATGGAAATAGGACTTTTTTTCATAGGTACTACTGCTATCTGTCAGTATTTTGCAGTTTTGATCATTACTTTTCTAAGAATATAAATATAACCTGTATTTTTGAGTATATAGGAAAGCCAATATTCCAACTGCAATACTCTTCAAATCTTTTCAAATTTTTTGCTTATCAAAAGTTGATTATAGTCATTGATTATGTTGCATGTCTATGAAGCACCTCATTGGCATGTAAAGTTATGGATTAAGATGCCTTCGTAATTTCCAAATAGCTCCCCATTAAGCAAATGTCTGTCCTTTGCAATAATTCAACACTGTGTGGACTTACACAGAAATTTCCCTCTATGTTTAAATGTAATACCATAATTAAGTTTGAAGAAAAATTAATATGTTTTATTTTAGTACCAAGAAGTGTAATAGATGGACTATCTCTATTCCATATAGTAAAACCACATGATTTGGATTAAAGGTCTATCAGCCAGTATAGTCTTTGGAAAACCTGGATACTACAATGGCTTATAGAAAGTAGTTTTGAGGAAGATAAACAGTAGTGTCTAATTCCGGGGAAGAGTTTGAGGTTCTGCTCATTGTATCCAGTGTATCTACCCTAGAGCCTTATGCATAGGAAGACCCCTAATAACTATTGATTTAGTGAATGAAAGAATAATTAGGCAAAATCATTAACTTACCATTCTTGGCCCCAAGATATTGGATCTTAGTATGCCCTGTTTTTAATATATTTTTCTTATTTTTATTACATTAGTATGGATATATTGTATCTGCAAAAGTTAATTACATTATTGCCAAAAGGTACTTTGTTCACTTAATTCATTTCAAAGATCATTTGCTTTTAAGGCTTTTATTAACTTACCGATATTTTAGGGCGGCTGACACAGTGCCATAGAAATAAAACTGTTGTAACCGTTTTGACCCAGTCTCCAATACATGTAGTTGAGTTTCAGACTTTAATATGAGAATCATATCCTCAGGAAAGACTTAACTTGGAGGAGAATTATAGTCATAAATATTCCTAGCAAGAATATATGAATAGAATAAAATTTTACTGTTATATTTTAATCCCACCAACCCCAAACTGACAGTACCTTAAATCTGTAATATATAATGTTTTTGTCACCTCTTAGAAAGATCCAGATCTTAGAAAGATCTAGATATGGAATCAAAGAGACACGTGTATCTCAAAATTAAGAATCTAATATCTTTACAGAATTTTAAAGTAAATCCTTAAATTGTTCTGGGCCATATTTTTAAGCATTGATTCGACCTTTATCATTACAGCATTATGGGCAGCAGCTCTTTAAATGTTATGTGTGTTGTCATATTCCACTTGTCTAATGGGTCTGTGGGTGGTCAGGTGCTTAAAGAATCGAATTTTACCCATGCCCACTGTAAGTATTTTTAACACATCCTTTCTGTTCAGGATTGTAAGCTTTGCTGATATGTCTCATACCATTTCACACTTCCATGAAATTCCCTTAGGAGTTCTTGGAAGAATTATTTGTTTATATCATTTAAAGTAGTGTGTGAGTTTTACCAACTCCTACTTCATGCATTGAGGTTTTAATGTTCAAATAATAGTGAAAAAGTTCCCTAAAAGCTGAAAATATCCTTAGTTTTTTAAGTGCCACCCTTGCTATATTGTGCAGTAATTTGGTCAGATAATAAGGGGAAATAAAACACAAGCTTTAGATTAGATCCTTTTTGTTTTTTTAAGGGCAGACACATTATCTGCATTCCTGATATCTCTTTCCCCACTTCATATGTTCTTGCAAATGCTAAGGAAATACTGAATATTTATTGACTGACACTACTCAGTATCAATGGCTTTAACATCTAGCCTACCTAGATTCTTTATATTTTTAAAAGTGATTATTGGAATCAAATATATGAAACAGGAGATCATTTCCTGTTGTTAGGTAATACCAATGCAAAAAAAATAGAGTGTACCAAAATTTTTACACACTAAATATTGTTTGTATTTTTTTAAAGATTTATTTTATTTATTTGAAAGACAGAGTTACAGAGAGAGGTAGAGACAGAGAGAGAGGTCTTTCATCCGCTGGTTCACTCCCCAGATGACCACAATGGCCGGAGCTGTGCTGATCTGAAGCCAGGAGCCAGGAGCTTCCTCCGGGTTTCCCACGTAGGTGGAGAGGCTGAAGGCCTTGGGCCATCTTCTACTGCTTTCTCAGGCCATAGCAGAGAGCTGGATCAGAAGAAGAGACAGCCGGAACTAGAACCAGCACCCATATGGGACGCCAGTGCTTCAGGCCAGGGCTTTAACCCTCTGCACCACAGTGCTGGCCGCTGGCCCCATATTTTTTTTTTTTTTTATTTTAAGTAATGTCTTAAAAAAAAAAAGATCTGAGCTATTGTCATCGCTGTTCTTTTACTTAACCTGTTAATTCCCACAAGATAGAAATGTGCCTAAGGTTTCTTCTGTCCTTTTTAAAGGCAAAAATAATAAAATGATCTTGTGCACATTTGCTTAGAATAAGCTATATTTGGTTCTGAATTTTTAAAATTATGTCAACTCTGTTCATCTAAAATTAAACATTCTCTTCACTTCAGGTTATCTGCAAAGTAGAATTTCAGGTTCATAGAGGGAAAAGCTCTTCACAATTTCACCTAAGGTTCTAGCCGTTTGTAGTAGCCTGGTTCTAAGTCCTCGTTGTATTTTAAAAGCAATCTTCATCCAGTTTTGCACTTGCCATCTTCCCTCTGTAAGCACCCTGTGTCAGACTTTGCCACCCTTACAACCAGTCCCTGTGTCACTTACCTCCCTGCATCATGTGGGGAGCGGAACCCACTAGCTGGGGTTTGTAAACCTCATCTACGGCACCACATTGCCCTTCTTTGGACTTCCTTGTTGATGCTTTGTGCCCTGTAACATCCATTCTTTACCGCTCTCCTCATTCCGCCACCCCCACCCCGTCTCTCTGCCTCCCTCTCCCCATGTGCTCTGCAGACATGCAGCTACACTCTCAGTGCGCTCAGCCTCTTAGAATTACTAAGAATCACTTCTCATGTATGCAGAAGGCAGCAGGAAAACTCTCTGAGCAAAGCAAACAACAAGGCCCTGTTTTCCATAATTGAGTGTGAAGACCTTAGCCTGGCTAACCAGTGTTGGCACAGATACGCACCGGCTGCTGCCTTCTCCCCAGGGCCCTAGTGAACAGACCACCAGGTCTGTGGTTAAGCCCACAATTGCCTCTCAATTATTCACCCGCGTTCCTGGATGGCACCCTGTGCTTTGGAACCAAGTGTTGACACAGCCATTTCATATGGAAAATTTCTACAGTTGGTAAATAGTCCTGGATATAAACTTTGGGAATCAGTGTTGTCTAAGATCTGTGGTGTAAGTCTCTGGTGCATGCTGTCACAATAATCCGATAGACTATTTGCAAATATAAACTTGCACAATGCAAATACATCGTAAATGAGTGCAGCGAAGGGAGCACCTTCCCTTAGAAGTAAATGTTTTCATTCGTTCTTAAACCGATATTTATCGAGTACTTACTGAGTAAAAGTTGCCTGCATGGTGGCGATACCATGGTAAATGAATTCACATGAATCATTGTCTGGTTGAGAAAGTAGATAAATAATTGAATATAAAGGTGAGTGTTGCGACAGGAGAAATAAATGGAACCAGGAGACTATAAAGCAGGTGTGCTATCATTAAGAGTGGTATCAGGAAATGCATGGCCACCTGAAAAATATCAGGTAGACTTAATTCTACAAGAAAATCCTTCTCTTGGAGATGGAAAGCTAAACATACTCCAGACAGAGAAAATACCATATAGAGACACACAGAGATAAGAAAAATTATAATGCCAGGAACAAAAACAAGTTAAGTAAGGCCAAGGCTTTGGGAGGTGGACCAGAGCTGGGGTTGTGGAGATAAAGACTGTGGCACTTGGAAGAATTAGTGGGGGAATTTTTGAATGGCTAAAACAAGCACACATCAATTTATCAGTTTATGTTTGAGTATCTACCATGTACCAGATACTCTTTTAAGCACATGGCCATTAAAAGAAGAAGAAGATGATGAAGAATATATTGTGGGTTAAGTCACAACCTGCAGCACCGGCATCCCATATGGGCACTGGTTTGAATCTCAGCTGCTCCACTTCATATCCAACTCCCTGCTAATGCACCTGGGAAAGCAGTGGAAGATGGCCTAAGTTCTTGGGCCCCAGCCACTCATGTGGGAGACCTGGAGGAAGTTTCTGGCTTTGGCCTGGCATAGCCCCTGCCATTTCAGCCATTTGTGGAGTGAACCAGCAGATAGAAGATTCTCTCTCTCTCTTTCTCTCTCACTCTCTCTAATTCTTCCTTTAAAAAATTTGTTCTTTTAAAAAAAAGTAATATTAATGCAATCAAATAGAATAAAATAAGTGATCAGTGGTTTTTTTTTAAAAGATTTATTTAAAGGCTTAAAAGTAGGAGAGAGAGAGAGAGAGAGAGAGAGAGCGCGCGAGAGAGAGATTCCATCCACCGATTCACACTCCAAATGGCTGTAGAGACTAGGGTTAGACCAGGCCAAAACCAGACACCTATGTATCTCCCACATAGGTGTCAGGGCCAAGCACTAGAGCCATCCTCCACTGCTTTCCCAGGCACATGGGCAGGGAGCCGGATCAAAAGTAG